GATTCCAGTATTATAGATTGGGAAAAGTGGAGCACAGATAAAAAGTTACATGACTTTCACTAGGGCACATAGAACAACTCTATAAATGAGAGAGAACTATTGAACAATTATCAGTAACGGGCTACCCTTGACCCAGTACAGGAGATGGTTAATTATTGTTGTAGCTATGTATAAAATACCCTTTCAGCACCATTACATAAAGTATAATTAGCATTAGTTGTCATAAATATATCTTTCTTTTTTTGGAGCCTATGGAATAGGTAACTGCAGAACTTGGATATCCTCACTCTGAAGAATGTGCCTAAACAAATGAGCCAGTGATTCTCAACCAAGGTGCCATACAGTCCTTTTAAGGTACCACAGAATATTAGCATGTTTGGTGTGCAAACATCTACATATGATTCATAAGAGACATCAAAGGAAATAATAACAATGCATTTAAGTACATTAAAAGCCAAAGATATGCCAGGGAGTCATTCGGGCCTTTGGATGATCAAAATGTAAAAGGGGTGCTAAAGGATGACAGAGCCATTGGTGAGAAGCTAAACACATTCTTTGCATCTGTCTTCACTGTGGAAGATGTTAGAGAGATTCCCTGACCAGATCCACGCCTTTCTAGGGACAAGTCAGTGGAGCTGAACCAAGCTGAAGTTTCAGTAGATGAGGTCTGTAACAGGGTCCTGCCCCAGGGATGGTTGTGATACCCTTGATACCCCCTTAGCCCGTGTCTCCTTTAACTCTCTCTAGGGCGATCACCCCATCTGCTCACCTGCCATGCCTTGAAGTATTTGTATTTAGAAATGGGAGGCTACCCCAGGGCTCTCCAAGCAAGATCTTGCTCATGAATGCCAGCGTTGCTGCTTCTCACCTTAAGAGCTAATTATGTGGCTTCCTTGTCTTCCTTTATAGCCAAACCCAACCCTTGCAGCTTCTACTGATCACTCTGACTTTCTGCACTCTCTTCCCCTCCTGGGCTCAGGCCTCTACCTCCTTCTGCCTACATCCAGGCACTTCAGCTGTCTTGGCTACTCCCAGATGCAGTCCTGGGTCCCTGACCCTGTCTCTACCTCTCCCAGGTGCTGGGCCCCTGACTCTGACTCTGTCGTTCTCTGGACTAAAGGTCCCTGACTGTGTCAGTGGCCCCCTCAGCCTTTAACCCCTACCCCTGGGAGCTCCCTAACGTGGTGAGGTCTGCAGCTGCCCCTGCAGCACTCTGCATGGGGCTGAGCCCCACCTGCTCCTGCCCAGGGTGCCTTGCACCATGGTTCTGCCCAGGGTTTGAATTACACTTCGACTCTTGATGGGGTCTTCAGTGGTGGCAGCTGTAACCTGGAAGGAGCAGCCACCACCACCTGAGCTGCTTAGAAATGTGCAGGGCAGGCTGGGAGCTGTCATCCCTTATGGGGGAGCTTATGGGGGCCTCCCATCTCTTATGAGAGGGCTCTCGTCTCTTCTAGGAACCTGGCAGGGAGGGTGGAACCTTTTTTGTTCAATCCAAAAGTAAACATTTTGAATATTTACTTCTGAATAATTGATTATTGGTAAATTTTAAAACAAGATGTCATTAAAAACATGTTCAGTTATTTGTCAGCCAAAACAATTTGACAAAACATACGTTAATTTGAAAATAATTTTGATGGACCTAAACAATATATTTAAAAAATGATACTTTGACTGAAAAAAATTACTTAGTCACTAGTTGTTCTTTTGCTTTAAGCTTTGACTACATTAATAGATCATGCAAACTGCAGAATAATGGCTTTTTTGACAGATGAATCACTCAATGACTGGAAACAATTCTTCTGGAAAAAATGAGGCATTGTTCTGTAGAAATATAATCAACCATGTACGGTAAGAGAGAGGCGTGCTTCACAAAAAACAGCAAACAAAAATAGCCATTTAGGAACAGTACTATGAATTCAAGAACTTAGAAAACATTAAAGCTGTTTTATATTACAGAAAATGTGTAACCTGCTAGCTCTTTTGAAGAAGCAGTTCCTTAGGCTACATGATGTCCTACTGCCTAAACGTCCCTAAACATTGCTGTTTTCTGGTTAGCAAGTATCGGATGGTCCCAAATGAGTGCACAAATGCGCAGCTTTGTTATTCTATTTTATTTTACAGTAAAACCTCTTCGTATTTCAGAAATGTGTAATTTTATTAGAATATTCAACAACATTTGATTTCATTTTAAATTACAGGATTTCAAACACCAAGCATGACCAGCTTTACTTGTTTTATCATTATTTACACTGTGCATTTTTTACAGCTTGCTTACTATATAGCAAATTATGAAAAATTAACTTCAGTTTCTTTGCATAAGATTGGAAAATGTGAAGTATCTTCAAAGCTATATGATTATAGCTCTGCAATCCAGGCTGGCATCTTTTTTGAAGGCTGATTCTTATAGTGCAGCTTCAACATCAAAAGCATTAAAACATCATTCCTATCTACTCATTCATTCTAGGTTTCCATTCAAAATTATCCATCCTATTTTTCAAAACTCCCTACAAATTTGCTACAAGTGATTCTCACAGGCTTGACCAACTTCCCTTCTGGAATAAGTGGGCACAACTTAATTCCTCTAACTTCTAGAAGGATGATTTGCAAATCTTTCTCTGCTGGCTAGCGTCTTTCTCTAGATTCGAACTCATACATGGAAGTGCTTCTGAGGCATCGCTTCTTGAATATTTGGCTGTCAGGGTAATATGCCAAAGTCCGAACTACTCATCTCTGTTCCATAAGCCTTAGCCATTTCTCATTCTCTGTAGCTATCAACAGTTTTACCATTTTTCCTGCCTAATTAGCCTATGTCAAGGTACAGGTGTTTTAAACTTTCATTATAACACTAGCTAATTGCCCATCAGGAATGACTTATTTCAGAGAGTGTTTACATGCTCTGACCCCTCCTCACCCTTCACGGGCAGCCATGTAAAGACTCCCTCCACTGCCGCTGCCTCCTCCTCCTCTAGCCTCCGGTGCAGGGGCTCCATCTTTCTGCCCAGTTCCCTTCCCCTCCGTTCCTCCCCACCACCATGACCCCCTGCTGCTGCCCTCCCATCCTTTCTTCCCTGCTGCCCGGCCCCGACAACAGCCACCACCAAGACCCCCCCTTCGCCTCCCCCTGCCTGTTCAGGCCCACACAGCCTCCCTTCCTCCCCACCTCTTTCCCTTCCCTGCTGGCTGTTGTTGGGGCCCCCTTCCTGTTCCCCTCCCTCCCTTCCTCCCTCTCTGCCACCTGGCCCCAGCAACCACCACCCTAACTCCCATCTTCACCTCCCTCCACTCCGCTCCCCTCCCTTCCTGCCTGCCACCTTCCCCTCCCCATCTCTGCTGACTGTTCTGGGGGAAGTCAGGGATGGGGGGTGCTGCCACCATCACCCCTGCTTCGCCCTCAGGCAGGGAGGCATGGGGAAACCCTGCTGCTAGGGTGGTCACGGCATGTTTGTCTTCACCACAAACTTCGCTGGCAGCAACTCAAACATGGCCCGCGCAGCCAATTGCCGCCCACCCTCTCAGCGGTGCATGCGCAATTGGTCAAGTGTTACGGACAGACAGACAAGCAAAAGCCCTTTATTATATAAGAATTATCATGTAATAGCAGTGGCTTAGTATATACCGCATAATGGATACCTGACTATTCATCACCAGTCTTTCCATTATAACTCACCCCCACTTGATCATTTTGTACCTTGGCCTCTACAGAAATCTGTTTTACCTTTTTTATCTTCTTTGCCCCATTCTTTTCCATTCCACACAAAACTTGACTGCAAAATGTAACATCTATTGCTTTAACTGCTTTTAATCCACTTGCAGATTACTTTACCTGTTTTCTTTCATTTTTCTATGCCAAGTTTAAGTTATTTGTCCTGACCTTCAACTCCAGTAACACCTTTAGCACAGGGAATGGGGCACAGGAGTTCATAATTGTTTTAGAGTTTGTAATTAAAGTAAAGCAAATTGCTTCATGTCCTTTTCTTTTTTCTGTTTCTAGTGAGGGATCTCATTTTCTAGGGCAGGTGCTGTGGGAGGTGGGGAATGTGCAGGAGTCACGCTAGCATGAAGTAAAAGAGGGGAACCACAGGGGTATTATAAAAGGACCTCTTGAATGCATGGGTGGGTCTAGGATTTTGAAGAGTGGGGTGCAGGTGGAGGGTGCAGGATTTTGAAGCAGCAGGGTGCAACATCACGTATAACACAAAACACATTGTTCCTTAAGTGAAAAGGCAGCTAGAAGATTTACTAATATGCCAGAGGCCCAGTGCTGTATAAGATCGAAGCAAAAATATAACTTTATTGGAACGTGTACTCATTTACTAGGTTGTAAACTTTAAAAAACACAACAAACTAGCCAAAAGAGCCCCAAGATACGGTTGTATTAGCCCTGCAGCCCCTAGAGTTCAGCCTACATCTCTCCTACAACAAAATCCGGCCTTCGAGAGCGTCCTGACAGCGCACCCAGCCCTTCACGGTCAGTCGTGGCTGCCCCTGGGTTCACGTCAAGGTGTGTAGCTAGAGTTGGGAGCAGGCTGCAGCGCAGGAGGACCCGAGAGACTTGACCAGGAGCGGTTAGTGGGTACGGGGGGGAGGCTAGGGTTCTACAGAGGGCGAGATGCGTCGTCTCCTTTAATCCAACACATTTTTCTTCAGGAAAGAGGATCACTGCGCCCCCGGCCGTCAGCGCGACACGGAACCAGAGACGAGCCGCGCTGCCAGGAGCTCGCAGCCCAGGCAGAGCCGGCCTCCCGCCGCTGGGGGCACTGTGCGTACGGGGGGAGCGGCGGCTTGGCCCGCGCACAGCGCCCCCTAACGGCCGCGGGCGAGCAGGG